CCTTTCTTCTTCCTCACCGGCCTTTGGCGAGGCACAACCTCGCTAGATTTAGCAATGTCGTGCCTTAGGGCTTGAGCCTCGCGCTGGGCTGGGCGAGGCTTGCTAAAGGCCGATGGGGCTTGCCGGCCCTAGGCTCCAACCGGTTGTTGGACCGGCAACCGACTGGAGGAAGAAGAAAGGGAAAGAAAATAAAAAGAAAAAGAAAGAAAATAATAATAATAATAATAAAATTGAAAAATATTAAAATATTATTAAAAGTTGTCCATGTTATCGCCGGTGGTCGTAGGCCGGCCGGCGTCCACGTCAACAATATCCGACCAAATTTAACCGGAAGGAATGAATTGGCATAAAGATAAAAAGTTTAAAACTGAATTGATACTAAAAAAAGGTTTATGATTAAATTGACATCAATATAAAAGGTTTAGGAATTTTCTGACAAAAATGGAGGATAACGACCGATTAGGGGGATGGGCAAGGAAAACAACACAACAAATTTAAAATCCATTTATTAACTAAAAAAGTAATTATGTAATATTAATAATAAAAAGGGTACCTTCGGTGTGTCAGATATCATTTGGCATCAGGTCTCTCTCTCCACACTTGGTTAAGTTAAGGAATATTTTGGTTCGATTAAAAAAAGAGGGAATATCTTTGGTTGTTTCGTGGATCCCACGAAGATTAAGAAAGAAAGTTGCTGGTTGGTGGTCAAACATCTTTCTTCCTAGTCCTTTTTCAAATAAATGAGAGTTAATATCACGAAAATTTTTAAATTAATATATATGTGATAAACTTACGATAAATTGTTTTTTCAATCACGAAAAATTTTAAATTAACACACTTATGATAAATTTATCTCAAACTAATTTTTTGACCATAAAAAATATTGAGCTGGTACATTTATATCAAATTTACCCTTCATTAGTTTCTGTTAAATTGGATTAATAACACAAAAAATCACAACTTGGTACACTTATAACAAATGGGGGATAAAACCCCAAACTGGTATACCCGTTAATTGCCACGTGTCATCCAGCTTAGTAATCTAATAATCAAATTTAATAAAAACTAACAGATGGTAAATTTATCGCAGGTGTACCAATTTGAGGTTTTTGATGGTCGAAAAATTAGTACGGGATAAAATTGTCATAGGTGTATCAATTTGAAGTTTTTCGTGATATTAACCCAATAAATTAATAAAAAATGTTTAATTAATGGTGTTGACACTCAACTCTTGACCACAAAGCATTTCCTTTCCATTGAAGTGGCATTCTTTAAAATAACATATGAAGGATTATTTACCCAAGATTACGTGTAATTAAACCAAAAGAAAAGAAACCTTGCTAGATTGTAGCTAATCCTCCTGCGAGCTAAAGAAATATTATTCTGCTCAATAAACATCAGATTAGAATTCCTATGGTTTTTTCCATTATTGCTAAATCATTATAATGTATAAAAAGGCACAATAATCGTATACATGACTGCTATAGCATATTGTGTAAATATCCCCTTTCAAACCCATCACTAGCAAAATATTATTTAGGGCCCGTTTGGTAACGTGCCAAATAGTGAAAATTTCTGTTCTTTTGTTCCCAGAAATAGTTTGGGAACAGAAATGCGTTTGGTAAACTTTTTGTTCCTGGGCACATTTTTGCAAAAATTTGTGCCGAGAAACAGTTTTGGAAGAGAAACAAGAAGTAAAAAAAAGTTGCTTCTTGTTTCTCGGCACAATTTTGAGAATCAGTTTTTTTTCTTCTTTTTTCTTTTTTTTCTTTTCTTATTTTTGTGTTGTTCTTCCCCGGCGGCCGGCGACCGGCCACAGCCCAGGGCCTGCGAGGGCGTCACGGCCCTCGCCGGCCGCCGGCGGAGGCGAGGTCGCCCTCGCCGGCGAGGGCGAGGGCCGGACCCGCCGCCCGGGCGAGGCGGCCTTGCCGTGGGTCACGACGGCGAGGCTCGGCCTCGCCTGGATCCGGGCGAGGCCGCCCGCCTGGCAAACCGAGGGTCCAGCCTCAGCCTCGCCGGCGAGGGCGACCTCGCCGGCCACTGGGCGTGGCCGGTCAGCCGGCGACGGCGGCCATGGCCAAAGAAGAAAATGGGTAAAAAGAAAAAAAAATTAAACAATTCAAAATATTATTAAAATATTATTTGAGAACAGAAATTTTGTGTAGTTACCAAACGCATTTATGTTCTTTTCTACTCTAGGAATAGAAATGTTGGACAGTTTATCAAACGCCTTCAAATACTCAGAAATTGTTTCCGGGCACAGAATAAAAAAAAATCATTTCTGTTCAGAAATAGCTCCCGGGCACAGAATGGTATTCATGCGCACCCTTACTCTAGTCATGATCGCCTCATATGTACAGTTTTAAAACGTGTTACTAGTCTACAAAAGTAACAACTCAAACATGAGAAATATGGAATCAAAGACATGACATGGAATCAAAGAAGAATCTGACTCGTTATATTATGCAATTTTACTTGAATAAATGTTATCTTTTACTAAGTTTCTATGAATTTTCTCATATTTCACTTTAGAATTGAAGTTTACAAAATGTTTGGTCTCATTCTTTGTGATTCTGCAGCATAAGGGCCGTTTTTGACAATTAATTTCGGACATTTTGTACTCCGGTTGCCCAAATGAGTCCAACTGGCATAATGGAAGATTTGTGGCTATAAAAGCATCGTTACAAATTCAGTGTAACCATACGGTTAGCCTAGCTGGACCCTAAATTAATAAACCATTTACATAAGAAAATGAGAAATAGTCATGATTGTGCTTTGGCCCGGTTCCTGGGAACCACAAAGTAGGTTTCAGGTTCTAGGACGGGTCTCATCCTAGAACCGATTACCCCGAGAAAGTACAATCGCTGGTTCTCAATGCGAAGTCAACCTTGGCTCTCGTAGTGTTGCTTCTGTTTTGCAAGCTTTTTCAAGACTATTTACTTGCCCAGCTTATCAAAACATGCAAAGCTTGCTAATTGCAGACTCTGAATCGAATCCGTCGTCGTCATTAAGCTTGTTGAACGCACAAACACACGACTTAATGGCGTAACTTGAAAGTGCAAGCAGATGTTAGTGTTGAAAAATTAACACGAAAACGATAGTATCTTGTAAATCAAGTCAATGCGAAATCACCATAGAAATAACGAGGAATAATAAAGAACACAAGCGATTTACATGATTCGGTTCGAGTATCGGTAGTTATGTTCATGGAAAGAATCAGCAACAAATAATCCACTATAAGAGGAGAATTAGAGTTATAATCGCTCATATACTCGAGTGTTTTCAACAGTTAGATTACATCCAAATTTAAATACTTGCAAATAAATAATTCAATTGAACGTGAAACTCAGCTACTCAAGAACGTCAATGTATCCTTCTTTGGAGTTTTCCCGAGTTTTCTCTCTGAGTGGCTCTGTCGCGAAGGACTTCTTTGTACGTAACCCTAGGAAACGTCCTCCTTGCGGCTACCATTCAAGCAGAAGGAAACCCACTCTCTTTTGGGTGCCCTTTCGGGACTTTCCTTTGACTCTGGCTCGGCCCCACGCAGCTGTTCTTTCCTACGGCCAAACAAAGAAGGAGTCCCAGTTCGGTAAATTAGAGTCGACGAAGTCAACTTGATCAAATCTTTCGTATTTTCAAGATTTTCTTTTTTTTTAACATACCGATCTATATCCGTGAACGGTTCAAATTCGAAATATAAATTTAACAATTAGCATATAAATATGTGATTTATTTGCCTGATTATCCTTATGCGCTCTTTCGATCAGCACTTTTTTAAAGTGAAGAGAAGCATCTTTGTTATGTTTTGGCTATCTAAAGGGGGGATTAGTTATGTTTGCCTGATTATGTTTGACGTTGTCAGCTTGGGCTGTTAGGGTCGAATTGAAATTTTTTGTTTTGTTTTAAACTATAGGGATAGGAACCGGTCTAGAACCGAGAACTGATCCTATGGCTCCTGATTCCACAACTATATTTCCTTTTCTTCTTTAAATGATTTATAAATTTATTCAAAAAAATTAAAAAGAAAGATATTTGACATATTACTTTCTTTGAGTCTCCGTGTCCATTGACGAACCTCTTTCACTTTGGTTTCCACATTATGAGCTTTACTTTTGCCTAGCTTCGTTGTGGTGGTGATTGCACGAGAGAAGGAGGCGAGAGTGTGAAGTGAGAGGCTGGGGTGTAAAAGAGAGAGAGAGCCCTAATTTTAATTTAGAGTTGTCTTTGGCGGATACCATCGGTTCATTCCGCCAATTCGGTTACACACAAGGAATTGGAAGCCGGATCGGTTGTTTCTGGTTTAAAAATTTTGAGAACCACCTAAAATTGGGCCGTTCAGTTTGGTTCCAATTCAATCCGGATCCGGTGGTCACCCCCGCCTGGGTCAATTTAAACAACAGCAAGCCAATGAAACTCGACAACCAAAAAACACAAAAACCAGGAGCGGATATTCAGAAGTTGCAGGGCAGACAACTTCTGAGTAGGACAGGCGCCGCTCGTCTTTCATCTTCTCTGCCAAATATTAAATCAAAATCCCCACCTTTCGCTTTACATGAGATCCCACATAGAACTGTTCCTTTTTTCTTTTGTTGGGTGAAAACTGAGTACCGCATTTTTGGTGTCGTGTTCAAAAATGGAACCGTCACCATTCATCAAGAGGGAAGTGGCGATCGTGTAATAAGAACTATCGCATCACGCGACATCACTATCCCTAGTCCATGCAAACAAAAATTGATTGCGAGTGCTCACAGAATCGTGCTCAATATGCATCGCGAGCTCGTTTCCGGACAATTTATAAACTTCTTGAGTTACTTCGCAGGATGAGGAAAGTTTCGAATTATCCTCTCGTCATTGGTATTCTACATGCCAAATCCATTACCGTGTTTCTTCCTCTACAGTTCTATATGGGAATGCGAACACGTTTTACAAGTGAAAAGAAGGCTCATTCTCATAAAGAGGAATATAACACCATTAACGTTTGTTGTCGTCATCCTGGTTTCTCATCCAATTATTTCTGGGCCCAGATTGGACCTTCTCTGCTTCATGGAGCTCGTCTTCTTCTGGTTCAACCGAGCTTTGAACGTCGCAATGAACTTGCCAGCCCTCTTGTTCACGTCCGAGCTAGGACAGAACGCCGGCGACGTCGCTTCTGATGATGAGTATGAAGCGCTCTCAGTCGTCTCCGAGACGCTGTCCTCATAATCTTCAGCATCTGGTGATTTATGGCGCCAGGCGTTTGGGCTCTTGATCCACACGTGGTGGCCGCGCATGGCAAACCTCCATGATGGCACCTTGAAAGGTGGCCGCGGTGGAGGCATCGGCGACAAGCCACCCATGTTGTCGCTGTCACCTGAAGACTCATAGTTTGGTGGCATTGTCACCGGAGTATGAGATTTCTTCTTGTGCAGGGCTGCCGGCGGCAGCGGAACTGGCGGCGGAGCAGAGAGATCTACCCTTGTCTTGCCCTTTTTGGATGCAAGTTGAGTGTGGAACACAGGTGGCGGCAGCGGCTGAGGCACCTGCAGCGCTGCTGGCGGTTTGTGAACGTCATCCTTAGGCTTGTACAGAATAGTCTGAAATGTCCTCCTGGCCTTTCGTTCTTTTGGAGCTGCCCGCGCCCCTGGCAGAGCAGACGGCGGAAGGGTGACTGCAACTTCCATTTCCTCGACTGCAGCATTATGATCGCAACTATCATTAGCAACTACATGCTCCCTCTGGAGCTTCTTCTCTTCGTCGTCGCAGTCTCCCTTCAATATTCTCCTGGAATGAACAGGTTTCGACCCAAAACCCTGACCCGCGTCCGGATTGGTATGGTCATAGAGTCTCCACCGTCCTTCATCCTGCGCCCACAAATCCGGGCACCGTCCGCTGCCTATCGTCCTCCCAAACGAACCCAAGGAGAACCGATATTCCCTCCCAAGGTCATAGCTGTAATAGCACTCGTCCAGCGTTATCGGGTACGACAATGACGACTTCTGCGTGTCTGATCTCCGGTACGAACCCGACGACCTCAGGAATCCGCAGGCAATGGCAAAGAGGACAAGGGCAAGGATGAGACAGTCCCAGCTCTTCTTGACGGCGTGGGCTGGGAAGATCTGAGAAGTGAGGTTGGGGAAGGACGGAAAAACAAAGGATGTAAAGGCGAGGGAGGTGGCGAGGAGGAGGAGGAAGACGTTGGAGCTGGAGTGAACTTCTTCCATGTTTGTTGGTGAGCTGGTTCGGTTTTCGGCAAAGGTATTTATAAGAGAAAATGGCGCAAATGATCCTTCAATTTAGATATAATGCGCAATGTGGTCCCAAACTTTTAATTTGTTCAAGGTAGTTCATAAACTTTCGTTACATATTCAATTTAGTTAATGGATTAAATAATCCGGTCCAGAGGCTAGACTGAACCTTGGGATATAATAATCCAGAAACTATATTGAACTTTCACCATAAATTCAAGGACCATATTGAACGAATTACAAGTTTAGGGACAAATCATTCAAGTGACTTAACCTATTTATAATGTTAGAATGTTACCGGGTTTTCTCACGAGGCACGTGAAATTCGATCGTATGTATACAAGCAGCATATAAAATCCGTTATACGTCGGAGAATATGGATGATTGCAATCATCAAACCCGTATAATAGATTGAGGACATTTTTTTATAATTAGTTTTCCTCGTTATTTTCCACGTGCGGCCAGAGATTACTTGGTTGCGTAGTGGCAAGGCCTTGTGATTAAAGAGGCATTGATCTCTGCCGACAGAGAAAATAATGGGTGGTCCGGGACCTCCACATCAGCATTGTCCCGAACCACTCATGAAGCGCCACATGGTCCATGTGTCCGGGTGAGGCCGGCGGGCTAGGATGTGTTTTTTGCACCAAAAACTCATATTTTCTTTACATTGATATAAAGGTCCCGAATCACCCAATATTTTCTCCCGCCGACGACGAGATAACCTCGAAGCTATGAGTTGTGATTTTCGTCTTCTTGCGGAGATCGATTCCTTGTGCCCCCTTATTGTCCTTTGTGGACAGGAGCTTTTGTATGCCCCGTCATTTCGAAGCTAAAAAAAAAAATAACACAGCTTGAATGATTGAGCTGGAAAAATAAAAACAGGTGTGAGGCAATATTCCGACATCCACTTTCGTTTTCTCCGCGGACCCCCCCTCCCCGCCGGGGTGAAGTGACCTAGTAATTGAAGAACGCCTCAAGTCCGGATCCGTGCACGAAATCCGATACGAATTGGACGAGGCAGATCGAAGTTCTCGACCGAATACTTATTGGAGTCTTGTCGGAAGAGTTCAATCAAGGTAAGGGCCGTTAATTTGCTTTATCTATCTCCTTAACCATAAATCAGAATAGAAGAACTTGCCTCACCCATAAGTAAGTATTTCATGGTAGCCTCGTTAGACCAGAACGGTGGTAATTTCCATGAATATCCAAGGTTGACCATTGATCAAGACTTGGACTTCTTTTTACCCTAAAGGGAAAAAGTGAAGGACTTTGATTTTGTCCGTACAAAAAGGTATATATATACATATACATATACATAATATTCCTTAGTTACCACGTTCTGCGGATCTCAAACGACATCTATATATATATATATAGAGAGAGTTAATACCATTGAAGATCTCAAACTGGTATACATATAATAAATTTACCTCAAATTATTTTTTTAATTACTAAAAACTCCAAACTAATAAACCTGTGACAAATTTACCTTCCGTTAGTTTCGATCAAATTTTACTGTCAAATTGTTTTGTTAAATGACATGTGACAGTTGACGGACGTACATATTTTGGATTTTACCCTTTGTTTGTCATAGGTGTACTTATTTGTGATTTTTTGTGATATTAATCAAATTTAACAGAAACTAACAAAGGGTAAATTTGTCACAAATATACCGATTTAATATTTTTTGTGATAAAAAAATTAGTTTATGATAGATTTATCATAGGTATATCAGTTTGGAGTTTTTAATGGTCAAAAAATTAATTTGAGACAAATTTATTGTAAATATATAAATTCAAAATTTTTCGTAATATTAATCTATATATATATATGTATGCATTTTTTGTCATAGGAAGAGGACGTGGTGATAGTGGATGTCTTCGTCGCTACATCCATCTAGGGTTAGGTCAGGAGGAGTACCTCCAGATCTCAGGCGGCATATCTCACTCTCTCTCTCTCTGTATATATGATATTTGCGGGGTATCTCACTCTCCTTTCATGATTTGCCCCGCAAAGAAAAGACAAGGCGAATCCTATCCTTAGACGTACGAAGACCTCTGATCACCGCACGTGAACATTGTACTGAACATGGAAGACATCGAGGCTGGGAATAGAAAACTGAGTGAGCGATGGTAAATAACGCCTCTCCATCTATTAATGAATTATTTGCTGTCCATTCTTTTCGTAAAATAGATATTGATATTTGGACCGAATTATTTAAATCTCCGACATCCTTGTGCGTTTTATTTCTTAGGTGACCTTGCGTCGATTTAAATTATAAGATTTCATCAGTTTCCGCGCTAAATTGCAAGGAATGGTAAGAAAAAATCGTGCTCGTGAATAATGACCACAGGGCTCCTTGAGCTACGTGATGGACTGTTTAGACAATTTTACCGTAATTTATTCGGAATTGGGAACCGTCTCCCTTGAAGGAGAGGGCAAAGCAATGGGGTGTGAGGCATTTGTTCCTTAATGAAGATTTCAGGCCCAATGGCCAGCCCTAAAACCCATACCTAACAACCATCAAGATACGATTCAGCAAATAGTAATGATCGAATGAGTGGGGTCGGGTCCTTCTATAAGTTTTTTTTTCTAGGGTTCCTCTATAAGTTCGAAAGGTAATTTAATTGGGTTAGACGTGGCGCAATGTGGAACATTGCGAGATAGACATGTGCTCTAGTTTGATCCAGAAGATCTCGCGCTGGCTTTAGCTATTGAGTCCCAAAACTACATGAATTGACATGTGACGATTTCGTATCTAACCATACGTCCTCTTGTGATAAAAACGGCAGTTGCCTCGGTGGTGATTCCTTCCTTCTTTGAAAGGTGAGAGGTCAACTATTTGAACCCTAGATTTCAAGGTGAGGAGCAAAATGAAAATAATTCTTACAAAAATATATGAATGTTGTTCGGGATAAAAAAAGTGGGAAAATTACTAAAAAAATTTTAAATCTATTATTGCATTTGTGCCAATTCAGTCATGAATCTTTTATTTATGATAATTATGTCCTAAATATTTTCGCGTTTTGCTAATTGAGCCTATCAGACCAATTATGGTTGGAAATCATTGATATGAGCGTCGGAGCATTTTACATGACACGGCCGGTACTAACACAGATAATTTTTAATAATATTTTAATACATTTTTGAATTTTTTTATTAATTTTTTACTTTTTCTATTCTTTTCTCTTTTCCTTCCTTCTTTTCTTTTTTTTTTCTCCCACCGTGGCCGATGAGGGTTGCCGGAGCTCACCAACCACTGGGTGAGGGCCGTGATGCCTCGCCGGCCACGCCTGGATTTGGGTGAGGCCAGCCTTGCCGGCTGTGGGCTAAGGCGGCCTCACTTGTGGGCCGTGCCTTATGTTGCAATGGTCTAGGCAAGTGAAGGCAGCCATGGCCTCGCTAGCTGCGGGTGAGGCCACCTTCGCCCACGGCTGCGATGGCCTTACTCAGATCTGGGTGTGGCCGAGCGAGGGCCACGACACTCGCCTGCGAGCTTCGATGACCCTCGCCAGCCACGTTGGGAAAAAAATAGAAAAGAAGGAAGGAAAAGAGAAAAGGAAAAAGAAAGAAAAAATCAATGAAACCCTCTGACTTCTTAAAGCTTTTGGGAAAGGTGATTTTGCGTTAAAGGTGTCAAAGTTAATCCCAGTCCATGTAAATGTTTGTTAAGCTAATAAAGTAAAAATATCTGCCAATGTTAATGAGCGGAAAAAGTATCAGAAAAGTCCAAAACCTTTTGACATAGTGTCAATTCAGTCCTTCCGGCTAATTTTAGTCGGATATTATTGATATGGATGCTGATCGGCCTACGTGGCATTGTCAGTGCCGGCGTAGATAATTTTTTAATATATTTTTTAAGTTTTTAATTATTTTTTTCTGATTTTTTTTCTTTCTTTTCTTTTTTTCTTTCTTCTCCCTTTTGCCGGTGACCAGCCATGGTCGAACGTGCTGGCCTCGCCTGGGCGAGGGTTGCCGCTGGCCAAGCGAGGCCAGCCTAGGTGAGGGCGAGCCCCGGCAAGGGCTACCCTCACCAAGCGAGGCCGCCCTAGCCTAGGCGAGGGTCGGCCTCATCAGATCTAGCCTGGGCGAGGCCAACCCTCACCGGGCCTCGCCTAGGCTGGCCTCGTCGGGGCTCGCCCTCACCTAAATTGGCCTTGCCTGGCCGACGGCGACCCTTGCCTAGGCGAGGCTAGCCTGCTCGACCATGGTCGGTGGTTGGCCATCGCCTGTGGCCGGTGGTCGGTCATTGGCAAAAGGAAGAAGAAAGAAAAAAAGAAAACATACTAAAGAATCGAAAAAAATTAAAATATTATTAAAATTATCCACATTAGCATCGGCAATGTCACGTAGGTCGGCCAGCATTCACGTTAGTAATATTCAACCAAAACTATCCATAAAGACTGAATCGACACTTATGTGATTCTCACTATAAAGCCCGTCTCTCCTCGACCTTGGTTTCTCTCCTCGGCCGCGTGCGCACTCCCCTCCATCAATGGACAACACCGAAGCATCACCCACCGAGCCCAAGAAGTGGGCGAGGGAGAAGCTCAATGCCACCATCCATGTCCTCCACGACAATCCCGATTAGGCCCCTCCTCTCGTCGCCTACTTCCCCTCCGGCTTTGACCCTTCCTCCTGTCTCCGCGGTGGCTCTGCTGACCCCGGCGTGAGGGTCTACCACCACAGCAAGAGGCCCAATAGGCTCCAGCTCGTCAACAGACCACCGGAGTCCATCTTCGCCTGCATCGGCTCCAGCTTCTCTGGCGATCCCACGGTCAGCCTGTTCTATTGTCGGTTGATATGGTTCGGTTTGGTTCGAAAGGGGTAATAGAGGAGAAGTTATGCCTATGAAATTTCAGTAACGTTGTACGGAGTACTGGAAGCAATTTGAGGTTAATTTGTTTCAAACATATAGGAAAATTTTGTTTTATCAGCGAGCTTTTTCAACTAGAGAACAGATTAGAGCAACGTTT